TCTCTGTACACATAAAAAGATGATAAATCAATGTAAAAAAAAAATATAATGGAAAATAAATCAGTGTGGAGTTTAAATTAGAACGCCTTAATACAATTAGATGGCCGGAAAGCCCCACGGGGGGTGGGGAGGGAGAGGAAACGAGAGATGCAAAACAAAAAAAAAAAAAAAAAAAAACTAGGTCAGCCGAGGGGAAACTGGGGTGGGGCCTCTCTCGCTCTCTTTCCAGTTCCCCTCTTGGAAATTTCGCTCTCTCCAGTCCTGCCGAGCCTTGACTCGACTCACTAAAGAGGGACTGCTCGCAGTCTATAATAGCGAGCTGAAGCAAGAAAGCGCTGACGTCCGGGACGTCATGAATAGCAACCGGAAGTTCGATGTCTCGCTTATAAATGGAAACCTTGATCTGTCCCACACAGTGAATTTGAATGCCTTTCTTTCGACTCCCGCTGTACGAAGTTGTACGAAGTTGTCGAAGAGCACTGAAAGAGAGGCAATATCAACTTCCGGTTGCCATTTTGATGTCCGTGACGTCAACGTTCACGTTGCTTAAGGTCCCTAATGACAATGAGGAGAGTTAGGATGTTATAGTCGAAAACGGATAAATGTTCATCCATCCCCTCCCCTACATCCAAACCCAGACGGTACCACAATGTTCTAATCGAGAAAGACCTTAAAGAAAACGATGCAGTCGTTTCGAGAATATAGCCGAAAAAAGTTATCTTTGCAAATAACCTGTTCTATAACAGCCGTGATTTCAAAAACACGAGGCATGCGTGCAACCGGATCCGAGCTTCGTTATCATGAACTCTTCCCTGAATATTTACACTTTGTTAACCTTGCTCAACAATATTGCGTATTTTCTCCATAATCATACCAAAAGGGAAACATTTAGTGTCAAAGTGCATGGTTTTCGAAGCGAATTGCAGTCATTTAAAATAGCGAAGGAAACTCGACCATTCAATAGATACTTTCTGCAAAGAATACTATGGTACGTTGTAACTATGATCTAAGGTGTCTCAAGACAAGTTAAGCCAACAAGAATAAAATTTGATTTCTTGACGAACAACATCTCTAAAAGTGTCAGTCTTGAGTTCAGGTTATTCGCTTTACTTTATAATCACCAAGAGAGAATCAAAAGGAATAGTTTTCGATTTTCAGCGTTACAGGACTTCTCTTACTGATTCTGGGTATACTATAGTACCTCGAATCTCGGAATTCTTCGTCATTCTGCTACAGTACGGCTTAACTGACCCTCAAGACACTGTACAGTTGTTTTTAATTATTCGAGGTGGTGGTAAATGGATGCGCAATTACTAACTTGCTGCACAACGCTTTTGTAGAACACAGTGTATCAATTGCTTAGTTTGCTAAATTTTTGCAGGAACAAATGCAAATTTTAAGGTTGAATGGACTGTAAAAAGGAAAGTAAGCTTATTTCATGAATTACTAAAAATAACATTTTAAAAAGAAAATTGAATGGCTCATGAAGGTAAATAAAACTCTAAGTTAAAACTTAAAAGATCATGCATCTTCCTAATTTGCTCTGTAGCAATGACCAAGTATTCTTTTCATAACTCACCTCGTTGGTAGAACTGGCGTTTGATCAATAAGAGTATTATTGAACCTCACTGTTAACAGGTCTCCATCTTTCGTTTCCCTCGGACAGTTCTCTGGCTTGATCATAATTCCCACGGATAAATGATCTCTGTCTTGTTCTCCGGCTTGAACAAAAGCGCAAAAAAGGAAAAATGCAAAACCGCGGAGGAAAAAGGAGGACATTTCGGTAGGATCCTGTGTATTGAAAAAAACTTTTAGCGAGCGACACTTTGCACGCTGGCGATACGTAAGCTAAATGAAATGAAGCTTTACTGGTAGTCTATAATGAATGAATTTGAATATCTTCCACGTAGAGCGATGCCCAGCTAAAAAGGGCAAACGTGGACATGGAATTAAAATTCAGCGGCAGTGTTGGCA